ATTACTAAACCTGCTTAATCCCTAACTACATTCTTAATATTTTTCCTTACATCCACATCCTTTCTAAGAAAACTCTGCAACAGATATCCATTAGAGAGAAGCACAACCAATCAGCATGCAGAGCCGTGGAGACGAGTCACAACAGATACATCTACAATACAAATCTTGCACTGAAACCCCAGGGATCATCATGTAAGGGGGTGGAAAGATTGTAAAAGCCAGAGGGATATAACATTTGCTGTGAGATTATTGTCTAGAAATGTCAGAAATTCTGTCCATGTAGTCTCAATAAGATGACCTGAACAGTGATGACACCAACACACAGGCTGACATGGAAGACAGAAACTCAAAAGGCCTTCACCCTAGATGGAACTATAGGCAAAAAAAGGGATTCTACAAGTGGGAGAGAGATCTAATACCAAATGGTCAGTCCTGAAAATTAAAACATATAAGTATAATTAACTTATAATTATAATCATAATTGTAAATATAAGTATAATTATAAACACACACACACACAAAAGGTACCATGAATTTGAATGATAGAAAGGAGGGTTTTGGGGAGGGTTTGGAAAAAGGAAAAAAAGGGAAAATGATAAATCATATTAAAGCTCAGAAGGTAAAAACATTCAAGAAATTAAGCTGGGCTGGTGGTTCAGTGTTTAAGAGCACTGGCTGCCCTTCCAAAGGACTCAGATTCATTCTTAGCACCCACATGACAACTCACAACTCTCCACACTCCTGTTCCAAGGAATCCCAAACTGTCTTCTGGTCTCCAGGCAAGTACACATGCACATGGCACACTTATACTTACAGACAAAACACCCATACACACATTAAATAATGATTAAGGATTTCATTTATTTCCCCTTATGGATTAATTATTTTCCTTTACATAGGTACCTTTGTCATCCTTAAATATATGAATTATACAGGATTTTTCATAGAAAAATTGAGAACATTTCTATATTTCCTTTACTTTGAAGACAAATATTAAACTATTGGTGGAACATTTGAATCAACTCAGGAACAAAAGCGTTAGATCATAGGGAATATATGATTTAATGATTTTGTATTTGTGTTCATTTTCTGCAGTAATTTTAACTTTGTCCAGAGTGTAGCTTTTCTTTTGCTATCTGTAATACTTCTATGCTTATTGCAAGATATCCTTTTGAAACAGAAATGACATTTTTGAGTAATTCTGAAAGTAGAAACATTCAGAAATGTTATTTTATTTATTTATTTATTTATTTAGCCTTTAGGTAATTCTAGCTCTGTCCAGTTGTTTTGAATTACTTTATTCTTGTTTATAGGTTAGCAAGATTTTTACCTTGCATTCTTCTTTCTTCATTTTTTTTTGGGGTATGTGAGTTGTGGGGGATGGAGTGTGAGATTCATTGCATCTGTGAGCCAGATCTTGGTTTGTTCTTTAATGTTCCACCTTTCAGTGCAATTCTGTTTCAGACGTGTCTTTTCTAATTAGCCTCAAGTCATCTACTTTAACACTTTCTATTTTAGTGAAGGGATCTACAAGAATGCATGTAACATAAGTGTTAGGGCTCAATTATCACCAAGTGAACTCATTTATACCACCAGGATTCAGGTCCAGAGACAGAGCAGCACCACCTTCCCAGATGTTTGTGTTCTCCTGAGCTTTACTTCACCAATCACTCTCATTTTAGCAACGTGGTCAGGGTTACTAACTTTTGTTGTTTCATACATAAAATCATGAAATATCTTGGGGTAATATGATTCTTTTACTTAATATTTTCCTTGTGAGATTCATGTATACAGTTGCATTAGTGCTGAATTTTCTGTTATTTTTATTGTTTGATATTACTTTTAATGAATATACATTGCTTATATATTCTATTATTGATCAACGCTTGATTCTTGTTTGGAGTTATGAAAAACTCAAATAATACCTTGTTCAATGCACATATGTCTACTGTAAAGTTCTTTGTGTGGAAATTTAATTATTTAATACATATTTAATAATGAAACTAATTTAATTAATGGATCTAACTAGGAAATTTCTCAAACAGACTATGTCACCCTATGAGCATTCTAATTAATATATGTTCTTTGTAGATAGTGTTTTTTTCAGTTTTTATTTTGTCTATCATATTCTGATGATGTTTCACTCAGTTGCTCAAGTGGGCACTTTGTTGGCTTCTGAGAAGTCTGAACTTTTATTGTCACATAGGAGCAGAATATGTAAATATCCTCAGTTTTGAATTGGCTGTTTGTGTTTTCCTTGTCTTTCTAATCTCCATATTTGTCTTTTCTTTCATTTTCTTTTCTTTGTAATGTCCAGTATATACCATCAGTATAACCCAGTTGTTTGTCTTATGTTTACTTTGTCACATGTGGGTCTCTCTGTGATACATATTTGCTTTCTAAATTTGATTACTAAAGTTAAGTGAAAGTGACGGCTTATTGATTTAAAAGTCTAAAGGGTATTATTACACAGCAAGATGATGTGAAAGTCAGAAGCGGGAGAATGCAGAGAGTTAGATATAAGCCATTAGATGTGTAGAATGCCACTCAGTGTCTCATAGAGTGCACATTTTTTTTCTCTTTAAGGTATTAGGTGACATATCACATCACACTAAGGCCAAAAATCAGCGAAAGTCCACATTCACCACTCCTTTGCAGACATATCAAAAAGTTTGTAAAACCCATGAGCGAGCATCAGGCGTATCTGTCCAGAAAGAGTTTGCTTTTTTATGTTTGGTGGCAGAAAATGGGCAAATAATTTATAGAAATATCTATAATGACACATTAATTTGCATGTGGTTGACTACAGAAACGCTGAAATGGTGAGAATGGAAATATAAGACATGATAGAGGCAAAATCAATAGATCTTGCTATTTATTTATTTATTTATTTATTTATACATCTACTTTTTTTTTTTTTCCAAGACAGAGTTTCTCTGTGTAACAGCCCTGGCTGTCCTGGTACTCACTCTTTAGACCATGCTGACCTTGAATTTACAGAGATTCGCTTGCCTCTGCGCACCCCCTCCCCCAGGTACTGGGATTAAAGGCATGTACCACCACTACTGGGTAAATCATGGTATTTCAATAGCTTCAGAAAATGAAATTAACCCGTCACTATAAATACACTAAAAAAGTCTAAATTTTAGGACTACAACAGAAGATATGAGAAAATTAATTTCTCTAGAAGGATTAAATTAATTGGGTCTTATTTTATTTGTGTTTGGATTAACTTCAGCACTTTTAGAAGAGAAGCTTGATGCTTAGTTGGAAATGCACTTTTGAAACAGGAGAGAAACCAAATATCCAGTATTTGTAAGATTGATATGTGATCAATGAATACTGTTGATACAAATGACTGAGCACTTAAAAGTGAATGCACTAGGATGCTCAAGATATGCCTGAAATAATTACAAGGAGAGTAAAAATACGTGTGAGAAAACTATCCTTGACAAAAGCAGACCATCTTTAGAAATAATCAGTCATCACTACAGTACTTGAATAAGTTGATATATGTGAGGAATCCATTGCTTTCACCATTTATTAGGTTGGTAATGGTAGGGGGATGGAAGGGTAGAAAAAGCAGTAACCCATCATGTATCGTATCTCAAGCTACATCTTCTTAAGTAGCATCACTTAAATCAGGAATGAGTTTCTACTTATGAAACTTCTGTAGTTTCTTTTCAAATCCTAAATATAATTGGTTACCTCATTTAGCAATTAGATGAAAAGAGAAATGGCGATTACCCTAGTTACTTTTCTATTGTTACATCAAAGCACCACACTCAAGGCAACTTATAAAAGAGTGTTTGGGGCTTACCTTTTCAAAGGGGGAGTCCATGAACATCATGACAGGCAAGCATGACACAGAAACAATGGCTGAGAGCCCATAACTCATCTGTAAGCAGGAGAGGAGAGGGCACTAACTGGGAGCAGAATAAACTTTTGAAATCTCAAAACGATGTACCTCCTCCAATAAGACAACACGTCTCAATCCTTTCCAAATATTTCTACCAACTCGGGGAAAAACATTAAAATTTGTGATCCTTTGCGGGTCATTTTGATTTAAATCACCACAATGATGTAGCTGAAAACTATATTGGGGGGTGAGATGCAAATACAGAATCATGTAGGAACCTAGACAGAAATAAGAGAGCCAGGTATAGAGAAACGTATAAAAAATACATTTCAAAAAGTTTTTGAGACTGTTAGAAGGGCACAGCACATGCTTTCAATGCTGATGTGCCAAACAGCAATGGGACTATATACAAGGACCTTCAATTAGGTGTTTAGACTCTTAGACATAAGTCAAAATATGACAAAAACGAGAACTGAAGCCAAAATTTTCAACTTGCATTTCATCTTTCCTTAAGATGCTGTTGCTTGTCAGAGAATGTTTTAATTAAGGTTTAAAGAAATGCAATAATTAATAAAGTAGAAGTAATTATTGCTCTTTGTTTTTGAGTACTTATCCTAGGAACTATTAGAGATTTCTATTTATTATTTTAGTCTTTAGCTGATTAAATTGAAAATATATCTTTTATAGATGTGTAGTGCACTTAGAAAAATTAATTCAAAAGATATGTGAGGTGGTTGATGTGCATATTCTGGGGATTACTGAATAAACCCTAGGTTCTAGGTACTAAAGTTTAAGAAAATTTTATCCTGTGAGGACCTCTTCTAAACTCTACTATTTTGTTAACAGGAATTTTTCTGTAAAGAGAAGAGAGACAGAGAGGAAAAAAAAACAAAAAGCTCTTGGAAATTAAATGGAAGACAGAAGATAGACTTCAATGGTGACATCCCCTCCCCAATTTTATTTACTGCTTAATTGTGATACATTTTACACCATTTCCATTAACACAAACATAACAAGGTAGAAGTTAGAACTATTTTTGTTTATTTAAGTGCCCATTGCCCATGGATTCTTGCTCTAAAGACTGTTCCTAAAACATCCCTGTAAGCTACTGCTTCCCAAAAGATCTCTGCTACAGCACAAGATGGTGCCATTAACATATCATGATCAACATTTTGTGCATTTAGACGACTCTCAGCAACAAACTACAATCAATTCACCTATACATCAATACACATGTGAGGCATTAAACCAATTCAACAGCCAACCTGCGGCAAAAGAACAGTCTCAAAATATAGTCACAGTGCCGCGACCAAGCTTTAACAAGAAGGCCCAGAGCTTCTGTACACTGACTCCTCCGAGCTCTAAAGTGGCACAAGATCCCTATAACAGGGTTATGAAATCATCATCATTATATTCCAAATGTCCAGCAAAACCTTCGAAAGACCTCCACTTGAAAAGTTCCTTTAATACCTCTTGGAAATCCTTGGCTTCACCTGTGTCTCACCACAAGCCCCCGACAATCTCTTCACCCAGCTTTACCAATGCTTCAGTGCTGGAACCCAGTCAATTAGCTCTGAGATCAAGATTATCGCTCCCAAAGCCTCAGACATCATCAAGTATTGACCCTTGCTGGGAATCACCTTCATCTGAGTCTACTCAAAGAGTCTCAACACTATCGCCATCTACCCTTCAACATCAAGAAACACCTTCCCTAAATGTCATCTGGACTTCACCTTCTCTGGACTTGAGTCCAAGTGAACCTACCTTAACATTAGGTTCATCTAAATCACAGAAGGAACCCTTACTGGACTGTGTTTGGTCATCTTTATTAGAATCCAATCAAAAAGTTTTGAGCTCACCACAACTCAGTCACAAGCTTCAACAAAATGACTCTCCTCCAACTTCATCTTCTTTGGAGTCCAATCAAATGTCTCAGAATTCACCATTGTCTGAACGTAAAGCTTCGAAAAGTCCTGCGTCAAATTCTAATAACAATGTTCTAAGTTTGCCTCTTTCCCAAGCAAAATCAAGGAAACCACCACATTCTGTTCATCCATCTCCAAGTTTGCCAGCGTGCCAGCCAAAACCTAAAACAATGCTCAAATGTGAGCCTAGAACCCGGACCCTCAGCTCACCTGCTTGTCACAACAAAGTCCAGAGTACTGCCACACTCAAAGACAAATGCAGAGCCCGTCCCCTATCATCAGTTCCTCCTAAGCCAAATATCTCAGGCCAAAGAGTATCAAGTCCCAAACCCTGCGTCAAGAACAAAAATGCTTCAATTCTGAGTTCCAGACTCCAGAGTAAAGGTAGTGTTGAACAAAAGGTAAAACCGCAAACAGAGAATGAAGTCCCATGGTCCTTATATTATAGTCATCCCTGCATTATTAAAGGAGGTTCTGTCCCTGTTGATGTTGTAAATAAAATCGTCAATTCTATTTCCAAGTCTACAATCCAGAAGGATCTCTCTAGGCAAATTCTCTTTCGAAGAATGAGGGGAAGGCCAAATCCTCATCCTGGTCCCCGCCTTTCGTCAACATATACTGTTTGTTTAGAATGTGCTTCCTGTATAAAATCTCAGTGTAGTCATTTTACAGGAAAGAAAGATCCTCGGTATGCCACACTCTTTGTCATCCCGACACCTGAGATCAGCTCTGATGGGAAAATTGACGTAAAATTAGTTCTTATCCTTTCCCTCCCAGAGACTTGTACCTCGTCCTGTTACCAATTTCCCATGAAAGATAATCAACCTGATGATAATCTAGAAGCCCTCGATGATAATATTGAAGAATTAGAGAAGATAACACAGTTTTTCCCTGCCTCTGAATCTGATTTAATCCAGGGACTCAAGACAAACCAAAAGTGGTTAGCTGTATCCTCTGAAGACAAAGATGTAAGTGAAGAGCCCCAAGCTATTGACTGGCTGCTTTATGTTAAAAACAGAAATAGTACTCAGCCTCAAGTCCCAGTTCAAGCCCCATCCTCATCTTCATCTTCTTGCTCATCCCTTTCCTCTTCTTCTTCCTCCTCTTCCTCTACTGGTTTTCCTTCTCCACATTCTCCTTGCAAAGACTCCACTCTTGCTCCTCTCTCAGGTTATGTTGTTACTAGTGTAAGAAGTCACCACCGGTTACCTCCAGGGGTCTCCTGGCTGCAGTTCATACGGGGTACAAGTTCTGAAACCGCCAAAAGAAGACATTCACCAACACCGAAAACCAAGCGCGTGAGGACTCGCAACACGAAATCCATGAAAAAGGGGAAAAGGGGACCAAACACACTGTTCAGATATTTCCAAACGAAGTTCCAAAATTAGAAATGCTGATTAAATCAACTTTCTGTCTCTTTGAAATGATTTTCTAGTTCTTCGATACTAAAATTTGTTTTTCTACTGTGCTTAGTTATATTCATATCAAAAACTAACTATGATTTTATTTTAGCTAATGAAGCACCTGTTTAGGAAGAAATATTATTTTTAAAATGCATTTGTAAGTTGGAGGATAAATTGGTATCTTTTAAAAGCTGAATACCTTATTTTATATTTTTAACAGAATTCATTTCTTTTTGCAGCAACTGTATAAATGATAATGAATAAGTTTATCAGAGTTGGCCAAACATCAGAAATAAGCCTCCCATCTGACTCTAAACAGTGTGTGACAATATATATTAAGCCAATTTATGCAAATCTGTTTTTCTAGCTTTGATGAAAATTAGGTCTCATTCAATAGGTAAGAATATCCACAAAAGGAATCATTTCAGTTATGAGCTTCTAGAATTTTTTTGTCAGTATCAAACATTCTGAGATTCATTTCGTCAATCTTAGGTAACGAATTTGCAATGAGAGTAACTAGTCAATAGATCTATGGAATGGTGATGGTGATTCCAACATGGCTTTTAATGTCATTTGCTTATTCCTTTTATATATACAGCCATAGAGTTAATAAAAAGAATACCTTAAAACATGCTTCGTTTCCAGGATTTACTGATAGATTAGTGATAGACCTAAGCCAATAATCAGTTATAATAATAACTAGTAATTTACAATCCTCTTTCTCCAACCCAAATGTTCAGAATGCAGACTGAACATGGCTGGAACATCTCAAGCTCATTATGACCCAGAAACAATTCCTCATTTTTATGGCAATTTTCATCTTTATCTAATACTCACATGGGACTGTCTCTTACTCATGGCATGAATTGCATGGTTTTATTGTTGCTAGGATCTGATGCGCCATACCCTGTCACTATCATAGTTTATACTAGTTATGGTATAGTTATTTGTCATGGTTGTAGGAATAACCAGTTAAAATGTATTTTTACTTCTGAATATATTTGAGATACATAAAGTTGATAGTCCTCCATTGTCTATAACTTAAAGCAGTCATCATTTATTTTATGGGTACTTAAATTCCTAGATGAAGTATGATGGTTTCTTTCTTTTTATTTTATAATAATAATAGTCATTATCATTATTATCATTAGTGTGTGTGTGTGTGTACCATAGTACTTATATATAGAGATCAGAGGACAATTTTCTGGAATCTATTCTCTCTTTCCTCCTTCATGTGGGTTCCAGTGATCAAACTTAGCTCACCAGTCTTACATGGCAACTGCCTTTACCACCCGTTTTAACTACTGTTCTATTGCTGTGAAGAAGCATCAATGCAACTCCTATAAAGAAAGCATTTAATGGCGAGCTTATAGTTTTAGAGGCTAGTCCTTTATCATCATGGTGGGAAGCAAACAAGTATGGTACTGGAGTAGTAGCTGAGAACTTTAAACCCTGTACTGCATGTAGCAAGCAGAGAGAAAGAGAGAGTAGAGGAGAGAGAGACAGAGACACACACACACACATCCAGAAAGAGAGAGGGAGAGAGAGAGAGAGAGAGAGAGAGAGAGAGAGAGAGAGAGAGAGAGAGAGAGAGGAGAGAAAAGAAGGGAGAAGAGAGAAAAGAAGAGAGGAGAGAGATTAGGAGCAGCAACGTGGGCTTTTGAAACCTCAAAGCCTACTTCCATACCTCCAACAATGTCACCTTCCTCCAACAAGGACATAGCTCCTAATCCTCCCCAAACAGTTCTATAAACTGGGGACTAAACATTCAAATATCTGAACCTAACGGGGACCATTCTCAAAGTACCACAAGATCTGAGCCACCTCACTGGCTGAAATCATATGGCTTTCTCATAACTGACTTCTCTTGTCTCTTCTTAGTCACTTCAGACACTCTGATTTCTTTACAATGCATACATTTTAGTAAGGGCTCCATCCCACCTTGTGTTTTAAGCAACAGTCTTCTTCTTTGGAAAGATCTTCTGCTTGTGCATTTTATCCAGAAGAGATCTGCTTTACCTTGGCATGTTCTGGGGAACTTTCTCTTTTTCGGCTACAAAGAGGGTCAACTGCCTTTCCTTTGAGCAAAACACATTATTTTCATACATTGTATTGCTCTCAGTTACTATAACAAAATGCAACTTTTCCTATTTGTTTTAACTCACTAGATTAAAAACTTGTTGGGAAAATTTACTCATTTCTTTTATTTTAAACTGTACCTTTGGAATAAAGTACCCTAATATGTGTGGAAATGTTTAATTCTTACTATTGAAGTTCTTCACTTAAAAACAATATTTGAAGCAATGCTTCTTTGGTCTGAATCATTTTAGTACAGTTAATCATGAATTGTTATTTTCACCTTTTATATTGGTAAAAGCATAGGTAAAATGGTACTAGGGTATGTTAATGTGTTTAAGGTCTTTTACAACCTCTTCAGAAACCCCAACACAGGCTCTTTTTACCTTAAACTTCTGAAAATAACAAATTATTTTTGCAATTGTTTTTGTGATAACGTCTCAACTAGACAAGACTCCATGAACAGAGGGCTCATCTCTATCTGATTATTTACTAATCCTTAGAAAATAGTGGTGCTGCAACATATTCAGTGTGTATTTGTTCACGTAATTCAGACTGAGGCATTCAACTAGTATTTACTTACAAATGTAATTGACTCCCTTAGCTTTCCATTGAAGCTTCATTCCTAAACTCTATGCAATCTTGCTGATGAAAAAAAAATGAGGACCACTGTTCCTTCTATTTGTTTATCCCGTCTTCAGGTATGTTAGGGATTCCTTTGTGTTTAGTTTTTAAACCATCTTGCAGTGTAGACCTGATGACCTTTACATCAACATTAAGGGATACTGTCATGTTTGTATCAAAGCATGACACTAATAAAAGCTAGGTTCTGCTGTTTGTGCCATATGGTGTGGTTCATGTTATGCTAAGGAAGCAAATGGCATCTGAGTACCTTTTTTTGTTTTCTTCCCTATTGCCCTGTATCTTATTCACTTTGTTTCATTAGCATTTCTCTCCTGTATCTTTCTTTGACTTATAACATTATTTTAAAGTTATTTGCCTTTTAAAAACTTGTGAATTGCACCATAAGTTGTTTATCTTGCCATTGATTCTAACAATGCTTACTTTCAATGTGTTTTAAGTAAAACTTCATGAAATATATATATATGGGACAACACTGATATGAACAAAACCAACCTGACTCTGTCTGGTATCTTCTATGGAGCTAAAGTCCACAAAAGGGACAATACTGTCTGTTGTGGGATACTTGTGCACTGTGTAAAGATGCATTTCTGGTAGTAGTGTAATAAAAAACTAAACAGCCAATCGCTAGGCAGGAGGTATAGTTGGGTTTTCCAGGGAGAGAAAAAGAAAGAGGAGAAGGAATCTAGACACAAAGGAGACATCGGGAGACATAGAGAAGAAACAGGAGGTACCAGATGGAAGACAGGTAATGCCACATGACAGAACATAGATTAATATAAATTATTTATAAAAATAAATTATAAGTTATAAATGCTGGTTTAGAACAAGCCTAATCTAAAGGCACAGCTTTCATAATTAAAATTCTCTGTGTCATTATTTGGGAGCTGGCTGGCTCGTATGGAAAAAGAAATGTTACAGATGTCAGTGTCAGAAAGAATTTTTTTTTAGATTTTTGAGAGATGAGGAAATATTTAAAGAAAGGTACAAGTATTTTCAATCTGTCCATTGAAAAAGGAAGTTATTTGAAAAATGATCTTCTCAAAATATCAGTAAAATGTAAATAATAATGAAGGTCAGGGCCCTAGAAAATGGACCCTATGAGTTCACATTCGATCATGTCAATTCATGTAATACCTGGATGATAATTGGGCAGTTATAGAAAAACCCTAAAGAGTTGTTTTGTTATTATCTTATTCATTAAGATTAATCTTCAGGGAAAAATTATGAGCCAGATTTATTGGCACACACCAATAAACACAGCACTCAGGAGGTGCTGGAACTTGCCATCACTGTGGCTTCACTTCCTGAGTGCTATGTTTACAGTTGTGGGCAAATATCTTTTTAAAATGTTTCATACAAACAAGGAAGATGGAGTAACTGGAAGGGAACACTTAAATGTTAATTAAAAGCAGAGAAAAATGTAGAGCTCAATAAAAATCAATAAAAAACACTGTAAAAAAGTGGATTTTATTAGGAAAAAGTTGCAATAAAATATTTATAGAATGGGTATTTCCCTTCAGGCGTAGATTTCTAGTAGAAAATTCTAAGGAAATATATTATAATCAACACTTGAAAGGTATTCTAAAATGAACACATCACTTGTTGCTCTTAGTTTTGCTGACTGTGTAACATATGGGTTTCTCTGCTACCCTTTCTACTTATTGTTCATAGTCATCCAAATCCATAGGAAGTACACCTTTTAATAAAACATACATTATGGAAGAAAACATTTGCTTTGAAATAAGGCCCCCCAAGACACATAAAATGTTCTATATTTTCTTCTCAATACTAAGTGCTATACTTTCCTTGACTATTTAATTGATGTGTGTGATTTTAATTGTTGGTTCAGCTTTCATTATGAAAGACTTCAAACCTCTAGAGGTATGTGTTGAATATCTTTTCATTTCCACCTAGCCTTATTGAATTCTTTCTTTTGTTTACAAAAAAAACTTTAGTAACTGCCATTACCTACTGATCTACATAAGCATACAGATTCTTTCATCCATTCCCTAGAGCATAATTATAAGTTTGCTTTGCAATACATTTCCTATTATATTTAACATACTAGGTTATTTAACATACAATGCTTTTATATGTTTTAAAACTGTGTACATCTTTTATCATAATGTATTTTATAAGAGAAGCATCTGATTCTTTTCATGGGTGCTTAATGTTCATCCCTGTAAGATGTCTATTTTAACTTTTACTGATATATATGTATATGTGTGTACATGTATATGTTTACACATAGATCTGTGTATAAG